ATACTCATGTGCCCAACAACTATTTTGATCGCTAGTGCCGCCTTAAAGGCAGTCTTACGAAAGGTTGCGTGCATCAGACGAGCACTAGAGGAATGGAAAAAGATTTTCAGGTAGGTGAAGCCTGAGCTGCAGCAATGTCTGAGAAAAACGCAGCAGCATGCTTCAGCCAATTCCTTGCGTAATTCGATATAGCCTCTTGTCCGTCATAAGGAGCCGATCATAGGTTCATGCGAAAGCCTTGAGACACAAACATTGGATCGTCGTTTCTCACAAGAAGCTTTGCCGCCCTCGTGCTCTCTCTGAAAGCCAGATAGTCAGGCTATCATCTTCTGCAACACTCACCTGGACCTCGCCCATACAACTAAAAGACTTCGCGATAAGAAGGAAGGTCGAATAAGGAGTAATTAATCTAGTTAGGAACCAGGAGGACCTCCTGAGTATGTTGATCGACGCGCAATTGGCAGCGAAAGATGCTTGACCTCGGCATGGCTCACTCTTGGCGCGGTTGGCGGGGTACGCCCACCGACTATCTAATCACTCGCCGCAGGTCTATACGTGGCGAGTGATTAGATAGCAGAGAGAGCGTAGTGTTGAAGAGGGCACAGCGATGAGAGTCGCATCAATGCGCAAATCAACGGGCAAGGAAGGGGTCCCATTTCTCGGGTTTCGGGCCGTTTCAAATGGTTTCTTCTTCATCCCTGCTCCACTGACCACCTCTACCCTTATTTCCAATGAGACTAACTTTTCTTCGTAAATTCCGCTTTCGAAGAAAAGCGACCGAGAAGGGGGTGTCCATACTCTGCATGATAACGCTCACAGCTCAAAGATCACGCAGTCGACATTACAGAAACATGGTTGAATACCGTTCCACACCCTCCCTATTCAGCTGATCTCGTCCCTCATGACTATCACCTTTTCAGACACCCAAGCAGTTTTTGGCGAGGAAGAAGGGTCGCCACTTGTGACGACCCCAAAAATGCTGTGGCTAAATCCTTTGACTCATTAACCTCCTCCTTCTGGGAAAGGGAACTGCCGTCTCGGCTTGTTGGAAAATATCCCAGATAATGATACATGATACATTTTACAAGTAACGAATGGCGTGCGCCACCACCTGGTGCGCGCCAAATATGCCCATGACGGCGTGGATCATATGGTGGAGCACTTTTTAAGATTTTTTTTACTTCTGTAACACTTCAAGCAATCTGAGAACACCGTCGCACACGAATAGATCTTTTCAGGAACGTAACAGCTTTATGTTTGCTCAATTACAGCAATCTCACGATCAGCTAAAATGTCATTGTTAAAAATCCTTCATTCCTATTTCCATCTATCTTGCTGATTGAAACATACACTTCAGAAAGTATTCAAGACATGATAAAAAAAGGATCGTGGCAAGCACTAAGGGAAGAAGGAAGAAATGCGGGCAAAAGCTCCGTGTTTTCGAGCGTGAGCTACGTTTTCTTCTGCTCTCGTCTCCGCTCTCTCGTCGAAATAGTGTGCTGACAATGAGCCTACAGCGAACTCATTCATTCTACATAATTTGTCCATATGGGCAGAACCATAAGCATGGCAACATCTTATAATCTTCTAGTGTAGAAAGTTTGGGCACAGAGACATGGTTTTTCAGTAACACTAACAAGAGCCCACACAAAGCCTACCCTGTGTGCCGACGTGCGCCATCATGTGGCGCATCCGCGGGAGGAGAAAAGCCGTCTGGCACAGGCTTCAGTCCGTCACCTGTCAATGTGTGAGAGTTTGAATAGAATTGTGAAAGATTTCCAAATATGCAAGCAAGTGTCTCAGGACGTTTGCATGAATCTGATAAAAGAACATATTCAGATAGGTCTCCAGAACAGCCGGAAGCAGCTGATTTCCGAGAGAAGCCGGCTGATGTCCCGGAGGGCCGAAGATTGTTAGAAAGTGGTAAGACAATGCCAGCAGAGTTGTAAGTTGAGTTATTCACGTGTTACTGAAGCATTGGTAAGAATATGTAGAAGCTGGCACGGTCGTGGAGAACAGGAACACCCTTTCTTACGAAAGCATTCCGATGTGAAATGAAAAAAAAGAAAGCCCCTTCATTGGTAGTCCACGCGGCATTCACACATCAAAGGCACCTGATTTCTGCCATACTTCGCAATTCTTAAAAAGTCTCAATCCGCGTCAATAGCTATACGTGTGACTAGCGCTACGTCGTACCACGTTGCATGTTAGGGGTCACCGCAAGACATCTCGTTATTTGCTCAGATTTGCCCACTTTGTGAGAACTTAGTCCTCACGCTTTTTATGGCCGTGACAGTGGCGCTACAGTGATCCTAGTGAACAAGTCTATCCTGTTCACAGGATGAGTGGATCCACATGACCCCATCCTGGATTGTTACTTCAAGAACTATAATCATCTTCACTTTCTTCATAAAAGTGTGCTTCTGTCTGTTCAGTTAGACAATGTTTCACACACTCACCTTTTAGTAGCGGGGTCGATAGCACAATGAACTGCATAGGCCAGGGTGTTTTTGCCACAACGTTGCCCTAACACAGACACAAAGAGAATAAAATCGGCATTAGTCAGTTTCCCTAAACAACAGCTGCCAAGTTTTAAAAACGTCAACATCAAAGGAGTGGTCATTCTTTGTTATCGTATTTCATATTTGATGCGCCCACAAAGGGTTGGGGCACCACACTTCCTATTGAAACCCGTATTATTAATGAGTATCCGTAGCAGAGAGCGACTGCATGCTTTGGATCTTATTAGTTGTTCCGTAAGTAGAGTCGTTTTCTCTAAAACGGAGTATTTGTGATTACAAAAATCAACAGTTAAGTGTTATTTCACAAACCGTTAGGTGTACAGTTCGCGTTAATTGCTTATGCCACCCCCCAATTTTACAGTTTTCTGGCTTGTCAAGAAATTTCGTAAATCGGCGCTCCGCATAAGATCCGTGGTCAACTTTGTTTGTGGTCTCAGCTCCCGCGAAGCTCGAAGCGTTCACGCTCACAAAGTCTCTTTTAGAGAGAACATGACTCGTACCTACTATCCGTCTGGTACCCATCACTGAACTCGATCGAAGTTTTCTTATCAAGGCGATGCAATGATGGCCCATGCCACCACTTCGGTGTCCCGTTCAAGTTACAACTGGCCCATGTCATCATTTTCGCTCACTCGGTACGAAAATTTTTCCAGAAGAGTTCGGCGATGGGTACTACGCGGATTGTGAGTAACTCATATTCTCTCTGAACAGAGACTTTGTGAGCGTGAACGCTTCGAGCTTCGCGGGAGCCGAGACCACAAATAAAGTTGACCACGGATTCGAAGCGGGAAAATGAGAATTTAAGAGCTCCTTGAGCACTTCAATTTCCCAGTTTTGCCTGGATACACTCCTCGATGAGTTCTACAATAAGCAGCAGGAGCGATCGCAAAAGTGAGCACACAGCTCTTTCTCTGATAAAGCGTTTTCATGCTGCTACCGTATAAGGGCTAATATTCCGAACTAATTAGTTATAAATGCTCCACCTATTCATGTGCATTGTAGAAATGGAGGATTTTCTCATTTATAGATTACATGGAACCGGAGCTACAATGCACATGAATAGTGGAGCAGTTACAATTAACCAGTTCGTATATCATACATTATACGAAATTCAAATCCACGCGTTAACCAAAATCAAACAACACCATTCTTAGTTTTCCGACACGCCGAAAACGATGGTTGCTATGCCGATTTACGAAATTTCCAAATAAGTCAGAAAACTGAAAAAATCAGGGGGTGGCATATAGCAATTGACGCGCACTGTATTCATCATCAGTCCCGTATGTTTCGTTTTCACACTCGCTGAGAAGACCTTGAATCTTGGGTCTGTGAAA